GCCCAGCCACGACAGTCTGTAGGGGAGGGTACTCGGCGGAGGTGCTTTGTGTCACAGCCTCCCCCCGGTAAATGTGTGTTTGGGTCAAAAGGAAGAATATGAGTGTGGCTGTCTCTCATCTTTTTTTTTTTTTTTTTTCTTTTTTTCCCCCTGTTGTAGCAAGGCTGTCATACTGGGTATCTTGTGAGAAGGGTAAAAACGTGACCTTTTGTCTGTAAAGTTCACTCAGGCTTCCTTAACACAGTGAAAATGATGTGCGGCGCACTGTGAATAGAAGTATTCTTCACAAAGGGAAGGTCTGCATTTGCAGTTTCTGGCTTTTCTTCTGGAAATTGCTGGTCTTGAGCTGATGACCTGATTAATGGTCTTGGGTTTCCCCAGAGAAATAACAGATGACCATGCGATTGCATTTTGACTCTTTGCATCTTAGATCATGCCTTTTTAGAGGAGTGAACTTGCACTCATGGACTTTTCTTTTCTTTGCCCCCAGTGCTCTCGCTCTGGCCTGCGTAGAGCAATAGAAGTATTCTTCACAAAGGGAAGGTCTGCATTTGCAGTTTCTGGCTTTTCTTCTGGAAATTGCTGGTCTTGAGCTGATGACCTGATTAATGGTCTTGGGTTTCCCCAGAGAAGTAACAGATGACCATGCGATTGCATTTTGACTCTTTGCATCTTAGATCATGCCTTTTTAGAGGAGTGAACTTGCACTCACGGACTTTTCTTTGCCCCCAGTGCTCGCGCTCTGTCCCGCGTAGAGCAGAGCAGGTAGTCAGCGATGGAGACGGGGCTGAGGGAGCACAATAGATGCCATCGGCTAGGTCAGCCTGCAAGCTTTGAGTCCTTTTCAGGTTCTTTGTACCATGTATTGTCCTTCCAGGCTCGTCAGCCTTAATGGCAATTAGGCTCAGCTCGGAACCTGCATTTAATAGGAGCGTGAAGCACCAGTCCTAGTCCTGGGCTCACTGGGCAGATTTCATCAAGCCGTGCGACTTCTGGCCTCTCCCACGCTGCTCTTCCCAGGCTTCACGTTGTGAGATCCAGTTGCAGGGACCACCCTGATCACGACTGGGCTATAAAGGGAGTTAAGATGTAGAAAAGTCCCTTAACGTGCTGAAATTAAGGGCTTCTGTGCCTGCGCTTGTCCCTGCAGGCTCTGAACCTGAAGGCAGCGCAGAGAAGTTCTTGGCTGCGCCTTTATCGGTCCAGACTGTGTCTTGGCTACACGGCAGCCAGGTTAGTGAAGGGGAACGTTGTTCCTGCACGCAGCTTGGATCATAGCTGCTGCGTGCCCACGGTTAAGTGCCCAGTCCCTGAGCTTTGGTTTGTATTGGTGAGATATGGGAAAAGAGCGGGGTCTGTTTCTGAAGTGGCAAGAACATCAGTCAAAATGCTAATTTTAACAGTTTCGCATTAGAGCAGAGAAGCAGAGCGAACCCTTGCAGCCTTTGCAAAGCAGAGAGTCTGGGACCACAGAGAGATGCCAGGTCTTCTGGGTGATGTGTTTGCCTGTGCATCCATCCCAGGCACGGGAACTGATGCGCAGCTTTAACCGGCTGCTATTTATGTGACAGGAGGTTTTTGTGGTATTTGTCCTTGGAGTGATTTCTGTCTGTACTGATGTCAGCCAGATTTAGCAAGCTCTCTGGTTTCTTAGGCAAAATCATTGCTTTAGACACCTAACCAACTCGAACCCCTTTGTTAAGAGACCGTGACAGATCACGAATGCGTTGCTGCTTTTAGGAGCTGGGAGAGATGGAGTGGATGGCTCCGAAGGTGAATGAATGGGACAGCGCGTGAAGAGAGGAAGATGTGCCAATGGCAAGCAGGGACTAGAATAATTTAGATAAAGGGACTGAATCATAGGGAGTTGATGAGTGCAGAATCTTGCATGTGTCAGGGAGATAGGACAGATGTGAATTTATATTAATTAACAATTAATGCCAGCTGAGGCTCCAGAGCCAGTAAATGGAAACTGTCTGCACCAGCTCCCTGCCAGGAAGGTGTTGGCTGATCTGTTTCTGTGAGGCCTGCAGGAAGGAGCTCCTGGAGTGCTTCAGTGCTGCCTCTCGGTTTTGCGCGTGTGCTCTCCTCTGCCCGTTTCAGCAGCAGTCACCCCTTCCCCAGGGTGGCAGCTGTGGGTCTGTCCAGCCACCTTGCTCCAGGTCTCCAGGGACGGGACTGAAAGTGGAATTAAATGACAAAGTCATGAAACCGATCTTACCCATGTAGTCAGAGGTCACCGCTAATCTCGAGCTAAAAACCAGTTTCTTTGACTGAAACCACCCTGCCCACTGCGCTGTTTTGCAAGTGACATTTATGGAAAAGCTCTTCTGAAGAGCTGTATGTGAAACCATTTCTGAACTGTAGTATTTGAGTTTCAAACCAAAACGTGGGTGGTGAATTAAAACCCCCTCTTTGAATGTGACACAGAGGAGCGTTAGGTACGCTGCCGCTCTGCGGCTCAAAGCTTTGCCTTTCCTGAAGGTCAGCATCTAATAGGCAGAGATGTAGGCTGAGGCTTTCATTGCTGCAGCCAAGGCTGCTTCACACCCACGCCACGCAAGCATCGGTGGCATAGCCTGCAGAAGGGCAGTGAGCTGGGGATGGTCTCCTGAAGGACTGGTCCAGAGGCCGCTGAATGAAAAGGAAAAGTTGCCCTTGATATTGAGCTCCGACGTGGTAGCTGGCTTGAAAAGCTGCCGAGAAGGCAGCGGGTGCGAGGAAGGGAATGTGGCTCTCCAGAGACAAGGAGGGAGGGCTTCCGCTGGGGATAGGGCTTGATATCCGAACTGCCAGGGGGTGTGAGCAGTTCCTGCAGCGCAGTCGCATGGTGCAGCAAGGCATGAAGGCTGAGCCACTGTCATCCTTCACAGCAGCGTTGGTAGCTGTTGAAAACAGCACCAGGGGCTTCACTGGGGCTTGCCGGTGGGCCGGCAGCCTGGGCCCTGCTATGCAGGACCAGGGCTCTAGGTTTTAACCTGCTCTTGTACTGTTACTCTGAGAGCCTGTGTTACTTTTACTGAAGGGTCAAGAACCAGGGAACCTCAACGCTATCACGTGAAGTATGGGTTGTGCTGCGTGACCCAGGCTTCCGCGCCTCTCCGTCCCAGACTCATCACTGGGGTCGGTCTTTGGGTGTCAAACCCCGTTGGCAGAGGGGCATAAGCCCTCCGCCCTGCCCGTGTGAGTGATCGGCGGAGGCTGTGGGCAGGCTGGAGGCACCATCCTTCTCTCCGAGACAATTTGAGAAGTGGATGAAAACTGTGAACCTCCTTGTTGGGAGCAACCTCTGTTCAGGGTCAGGGCCTCAGCAACCAGTCCATCTGCTCTTCGCTGTTGCTCGTGCTGTTCCTTGTCTTTAAGCGTTGGAGCAAACAGCTCTGCGTGTGGAAACCAAGGCCAGGCTTTCTGCGTAAACACCTTGTTTGCTTTGCGTCGGCTGTTCGTGCTAGTGGTGGGAACTTGGTTTGTATAAAAGTTGGGACTCTTTAAATGAGCCGAAGGACAACTAGCTTCTACTGGAATTTGGTGAAAATAAGGTGTGTACCTTCTCGGAGAAAGCAGTTAACCCTTCTCACTGGAGTGTGGGATCCATTAGGGAAATGCTCCCTGCAGTATATAGGGAAGGAAACAAGCCGGTTGCTATAGAAGTGACTGTTGCACCCCAGAGGATGCAACACACAATTCTGTACCTGCTATGGAAATGGGTATGCTGATTTAGAAAGGTAGTAAGAATTTTTTGTTTGTTTATTTTATAGCTGTTTACAAAAGTCTTGGGGGATACTAGATGATGTGCGCTGGCACGGTTAGCTGTCGCGATGCTAATTGCTTTAGGAAAATGAACGTATTTACCTGTATGTAGAACTGAATAGATTTGCAGGGTATATTTATTTAATACACTCCCTTGAGGCTGTGCTTGATATAATGATTCTTCTGATGGGATTTGAATTGAACCAGACTAGAACCAACAAAGGAGGCTGTTGCGGCTCTGTCAGGTTTGAGAAATGCTTTTTATGCAGCCAGGCCTGCACAGAACAGCTTTCAATGAAGATGTGAACGCTAATAATTCAGTATGGAAGCATCTTGCAACCAACAGCAGCCTTGCTGTATAGTAAATGCACAGTTTGCTAAATTAAGCCTTAATGTCACAGGACAAGTGTGACCTTTGCTCAACTAACATGGAATTACTTATTTCTATCTTGTTAGG